CTCATGTGGATGCTAAGTTTGACAGATTACCAACAAAAATCTCTTCCGCATACTTTTAAAATCTGCCAAACATTACACGGGGTTTGACTCCGGTGATGAAACAAGATAGTTGAAGCACTAGGAATTTGTGGATGTGTTCAACATGTCCGAAAACCGACTAAGTTGAATAATTTACTTGATTTATTGTTTACAACCAACATGGAATCTATTTCAATGCATATCAGTCATGAGTTTTTTATGAATGATCATAGAGTTGTATTGAGTATTATTCATTCTTTAAGCACTATACAACTAAACTATAAAGCTTCAGTAATGTGTAGTGACCTACTTTTATCAAGAGAACGCGATTGGTTTAGTGGAAACAATTATTATTATAACCAATTCTACCAGTGATTGTTTTACCGTACTTGTTTGTTTAACTGTACTAAAGACATTCTTCCTTCCGTTGATTGTGACCTTGCACGCACTTACGTTTGCTCAGTGATTCCGCTTGTACTCTTTCGGCACGATCTCGGTATTCTTTCGATACCACGAGATCGCCAAAATACAGCTATTGTAACGACCGAACAGCCAATATTCGGTTGGAACAACGGACTGACGAACCCAAAATTTATTCGATTAGACCAGACCAAGTTCCTCTGTATAGCCCACAACGCGTCTTTGAGATACTCGTATTATATTATATCAAAACACAAACTCTGTGCTCAATATAAACGTTTCTAATTAAGAAAACGGAACAAATTACATCAAAATACAAAATACCTCAAACGGTACAGCCTGTGCTATACAGTCAGAAGTTTCTCTAACGCAAAGTAGCGCGCTAAACAATGAAAGAGACAGTTAATACTAAAGGGTTTGATACCTGAGAATCAATACAAATATTCCCAATAAGATGGGATCAAATATCTATCTGCAGGGATTGCAGCAATTCTCCCAAGCAGACAGTCAGAAGGTTAACAATTACAAACTGAACCACGCCGTGACCTTGAGCTTAGTCAAACACAACCTTACTGTCAATGGTCCGGCAACATGCAATAGAAAATTAGGTAACCAAAAATAAGTCTTTAATCAAAATCACATAATAAAGGCTCAAACGAGGAAGACTGAAGAACAAAAGACATGGTTAAACGAGATCGAAACAAAGGTTGGAATACACAAAAGGGAGAAGGAACAAATAAATGAAAATACTGTTCAACAAAGAAGCTGCAGAGGGATTTTCACTGTTCTTTTTCCGTTACAGCTATCAACTGCCTTCTGATATTTGGCCTAAGGGTGATCTTATCGGTTGACCGGCACGTAGTCTTCCTGTAGTGGTGATCATAGTCAACTGCGACTCGACACCACGCTACAGATGTACAAGAGCAAACATGTTGATCAGCAAACCTGGAAACAGACTGAAACTCTTACTCAATGTTTGCCAGGGGAAACTTATTTCACCACAAATAATATTGACACTGCGCTTTCCAATCTATACCAGAACTTGATATATTGCATTGACTGCACTGCTCTAATTATTGACCATGTGTTTTATAATGCTAATAGGGGCCAGAATACTTATAAAACTTTTAGAAGAAATCTAAGGAAATTAAAACGCCGCTACTAAGAGCATAATGACATGAGTGCACTTCAGAGTATACTTAAATTAATCGACAGAAATGCCTCATCAAACGCAAGCATTTTATGAATACAGAAAATAAACCCCTAGGTAGTGAAAGCCCAGGGTTATCAATACCTCGGCCTTTTAACTCCCACTATTTTGTCTGAAACTTTTCAACCTATCCATGGAATATGGGGCTTATCCATCTGTATGGAAAACATCTCTTATCACCCCTAGATTTTAAACAGGATGACGTAGTGATATTGTTAACTATAGGTCAATTAATTTGAAATCCGTGCTATCAAAAACCATGGAAAAGATCACCCACAAACAGTTATTATCATTTTTACTTTCGGCTAGTCTGACTAGCCCAACCCAACACGGGTTTATGACTAAACGCCCATGCTTCAAATCGCGCCTGGAATTTTTTGATCAAATACACAGAGGAGAAATGTTGGTCAGTCAGTGATAATTCTTTACTTCCATTTTAGTAGGGCTTTCGACAGTGTCTCACACAAACATCTTCTTCTAAAAATCTCTTCATTTGGCACACAGAATCCTCATTTATCTTGGCTCAAATCTTTTTTAGAACGTATCCAAATCGTCCGTTTTGGATCTTGCTACTCTAAACCTGTGAATGTAACCAGTGGGGTTATACAAAAAAGTGTGGTTGGTCCATTACAATTTCTCCTTTTTATCAATGACGTGTGTTCCCTCTTCCAGTGTGGTAAACCTTCCCTTTTTGCCAATGACCTAAAATTAGTTTATTTATTCTCTTCTCCCATCAAAGAAAGCTAGATTTCAGTGGTAATCCAAGAAGAAATAAACAAGTTATACAAATGGACTGTTTCGTGGAATTCGCCACTTAATGTTGACAAAAGTGGATTTATTAACATTGGCCGCTGCCTTAAACTAAATCTGGCCATACACAAACATACACTGAAACCTCTCAACACTGTCTGTGACTTGGGTTTAAGATATAGAAACAGTCGATAGAACGCCAGGTCAAACTTATGTCATAAAGCCTCAGCCTTTACCTGAATTCTGATCTTTACGGTACATTTTGTGAAGATCTACTTACTCACATACTTACGCCTGTTACTCCTCGTGATAGAGCATAGGCCGCTCACCAACATTCTCCATCCAACCCTGTCCTGGGCAATCCTTTCCAGCTCCTTCCAGTTCTTATTCATCCTTTTTATATCTGATTCTGTTTCATGGTGTGATGTGTTCTTTGGCCTTCCTCTTTTCCGCTTCCCTTCAGGATTCCAAGTTAGGGCTTGTCTCGTGATGCAGTTTGACGATTTGCGTAATTTATGTCCTATCCATTTTCATCGACTTTTTCGAATTTCCTCTTCAGCTGGAAGCTGGTTTGTTCTCTCCCACAGAAGGCTATTGCTGATGGTATCCGGCCAATGGATGTTGAGTATCTTGCGAAGACAGCTTTTTATAAATACTTGTACCTTCTTGATGGTGGTTGTTGTAGTTCTCCAAGTTTCAGCTCCATACAGTAGAACTGCCATGATGTTGGCATTGAAGATTCTCACTTTGATATTAGTTGAAAGTTGTTTTGAGTTCCATATGTTCATTAATTGTAGGAATGCGACCCTTGTTTTGCCTTGCCTTTACGTCAGCATCTGAATCTCCTTGTTAATCGATGATGCTTCCCAGGTATGTGAAGGATTCTACATCTTCCAGAGTTTCGCCATCAAGTGTGATTGGATTGCTGTTCTCCGCTTTGAATTTGAGGACTTTGTTTTTCCCCTTGTGTATGTTAAGGCCTACTGATGCAGAGACTGCTGCTACACTAGCTGTTTTTATCTGCATTTGTTCGTGTGTGTGGTATAGAGTGGCTAGGTCATCTGTGAAGTCCAAACCGTCTAATTGGTTCTGAGCTGTCCATTGTATGCCGTGTTTACCTTCAGATGTCGAGGTCCTCATAATTCAGTCGACCACCAGATGAAAGAGGAAGGGAGAGGGTAAACACCCTTGTCTGACTCCGGTCCGTACTTGGAATGCACCTGTCAGCTGTCCTCCATGCACGACCTTGCACTGTAGTCCGTCGTATGAGTTGCGTATAATATTGACAATCTCCTCAGGAACTCCGTAGTGTCAAAGAAGTTTCCATAACGTCCTCCTATCCACACTGTCAAATGCCTTTTCATAATCAATGAAATTGATGTATAGTGATGAGTTCCACTCAACTGATTGTTCGACGATGATCCGTAGTGTTGCAGTTTGGTCTGTGCACGACCGATCCTTAAGAAATCCAGCCTGTTGATCTCGAAGTTGATCGTCTACTGCATGTTTTATCCGGTTCAGCAACACTCTGTTAAAGACTTTCCCTGGTATTGACATTAGTGTAATGCCTCTGTAGTTTTCACATTTGCTCAGATCTCCTTTCTTTGGAATCTTGACGAGGTGCCCTTCTTTCCAGTCCATCGGCACTTGTTCCTCCGCCCAAATCTTTTTGAATAAAAAGTAAAGCATGTCTGTAGTTACTTCGATGTCTGACTTCAGTGCCTCAGCTGGTATGTTGTCGGGTCCCGCTGCTTTCCCGCTCTTGATTTGTCTGACGGCCATTCTGATTTCTTCCGTCGTTGGTGAGTTAACGTCTATGGGAAGATGTGTGTGCTGCTTCCATGTCCGCTGGATTCATTGGAGCCGGCCTACTAAGGAGTTCCTCAATTCACTCTAGCAAAGATCTTCACACACTGGTAAATCAGAAATATTGGGTTAACACCAGATCCCAATGATTAGAATGAATAATGAATTGATCAGATAAGCTAGAGTGTTTGAGGGTAAGTTAGATGACATCAGAATGGCGAACCTGTTCACTGTTTCTGGAAGAGCCATAGAGGCGTGTTGAGTCCTACGTATTTCCTGACTTCATGAGGATTTCGTCTGTTCACTCTTCTCTGCCAGTGCTGGAGAGTTTCTTTGTATAAATAAGATGAATTCAAGTTCATTGAAGTTAGCTTGAACGATAACTTCAGGAGAATAAGTTTCTGTTGGACTAGATTTACCTGGATGTATGTCGTCCCATGAAGATCTATGCTAATGAGAATGCTACATGGTTTAGTATTGGGACCAGTGTTTGCGTAAATGGCCTTCTCAGTCCTTTTGCCTTAGCAATTGCTTGAAGCTTCACCAACTGGGAGACCTCCAAAGACATGACTAACCTGATTCATTCAGCACCCTGTCCTATCTCGGAAAAGGAAGCTAACCTATACGTTTGTTTTCTCATTTCTCGAAAAGCTAAGATAGGTGTTTTAATATTGCTTCGCTCTTAAACCTCCTAAAGAGATACAGACAAAATTATCAAAATACTTGGTTCACTCTTTCTGTCTGAAGAAAATCCAGCATTTTTTGAATTTGCCTTGAACGACCTTCTAAGGTAAGCCGCCACTTTAAAGTGTAACATCATAGATGGTAAGCTTGTTCCCAATCTTGGCGACATTACTATTGGTGCTTCACTACATTCAACAACAAAATACATGTACCAATGTGACAGTTTGAAGAAAAAATATGTACAAATGTCTAGCGTAACAACGTCCAGTGTTAGTAAGGACAGGGTGGAAATTAGTGAAAATATATTCGACAATCGTGTGTATTTCTTACAGTGATTTATGGTTCTCCAACCAACTGAGTAATCTCCCAAAATTAAGAATGAGGGTCTAAAGGGAGTTGTCGTCCAATCATTTCGAAAGTCTCTAAATGCTATTGGTTTTGTATTTTATGTAGAACAAAATACTTCACATACATATGAAGTAAACACTCGCCAAAATGACGGTAGCTTTACAACTAAATAACCTAGTCTGGGGAACACAACTTCAAAAGTACTCACTCGATGTGCAGAGTTTCCTCGTTACTATGAAGTAAAGCGCCATCACATAGTTTTGGTGTTTGCTTGGTAGGTAATTAGTGATATATTTCAAAACTTCTTAAGACCCAGACACTGTATTGATCACTAAATTTTCAACTAATTTACCAGATCGCTGCGATGTTGCTATGTTACATGAATACTCTCTGACTACGTGACACTATATGAACATCCCGTTTATGGTAATCGCTAATTGTCGAAAAAAATCACTGCTTTTCCGTCCACAGCCTCTGCAGATACATTAAAATCCAATAGTGCAAATCATGAACTTCCTACGTCTTTGTTGTAGGCTCTGTTTCTAAATTGGTAAAGGTTAACTATAGATCGCTGTGACTTAATTATTACCGTAACTTCTCATATTAGATCTAGTGCATGGTATTTTCATAATGCTGAACGATTGAGAAACATTTAGCTTTTCTCTGTGACATTGTTCTGGTCCGGATTATGTTCTTGCAGCTCAGATACATATATCCAAACTTTCATGACATCGGTTTTGAAATAAATATATTATAAACGCTCACAATTCTGCCAGAATAGTTGCCAATCATAACTTCGGGACGTTAGTTATCCCTAACCACCATCTAGTTCTATGTGCTATGTTGCCTAATATAGAACTGTGTTAAGAAAACTTAAAAGTAAGCAAATTAAGACATCATACCGGTCTGTGAAGTCTCTGAATTCCAGTTGGAACAGTGTGGGTAGGTACAGAATACTTAAGTGTAGTCTATCCAATGCTTGTAATCAATAACTGGACGACATGGCTGTACTTGTTTTCCGATTTTGCGTTCTTCGCTTTCATTTTGAACTGTAGTTCAATGTTCAGATTTCTATTAACTTCAATATTATTTTCCAGTCTTTCCTTTCCACCTTGTTGAATCCCTCTTTCTAAACTGATGGAGTGTGATGACTTAAATCCATGTCAGGTCCTACGTTCATAATGGTTGACAAATTATCTGATAACTCCTACATCGTCCTCTCAATTTCGTAGACAACACCCGTGCTACAAGAAGAAAGTGAGTAGGACTTCCCTGACAATGGCTGTATACACGTGGCCATGTGAGAGCACTGCGAGGAGAGCTGACTCTCCCCACCCTCAGTTGTACCAGGGCATCTGGGGGCTCTGTAAGTTAGCGAACAAGTAATTTTGAAATCTATATTTTCGGCGTTATTTCTATGCGATGCTGTCATACGATGAAAGTTACATGGTCTTGTACTAGAAATACGGTCCACATGATTAGATACTCCGATAAATACCTGCTTGTTATCGTGTTTAGAATTTTTTAAAGTTTAATATAGATATCCAAACTGAAGGAGAATATTCATAAACGTTAGATAATGAGCTATGTCACATAATAAAGCTACACTGTTCAGAATTTACAAAATGTAGATAAATGTTCGTTTTCATGAAGATCGATGTACAGCTTAATTCGAAATGACTATGTATTATTAGGGAACTTTTGAACGTGATATTGTAACTAGTAGTATCTTTGGATGGTTAAATAATGTGTTACCTATGTTTATGGGATACTTCGTACAGATATACACAAATAAAAATGTGTGATATTAAAACTACTTTAGAAGATGGAGGACCCAAACTATTAGTGCTTGTGCGGCCGCGCCTGGAAAGAAAAGTGATTTATGAACCCGTCCAGGTCACTGATCACTGCATGGGTATAACGTAATACGTTGTTTCACTATCTTGTCAATTATATTTCCTAGTCAAAAGTTTGACAGGAGAGACCTTAGGACAACCACATGTGTCGGTTATTGGTCCGGGAAATTATCACAGCCGTCGTACTGAAACCAGGCTTTGTCTTTCAAAATTTGGCGACTCTGGGATATAAGGTTCTGGGGGCACCTATTGTATATTGTTGTTAATGTTTTTTGGACACAGAAAAAGTAAGGGAATAAAAGTTTCGTTCCTCTAGAGAAGCCGAAGCTATAGCTGTTGAGTTCCTGAATACTCATAAAAAAATAGGTAAAGATAGGTTACTGTAGAAAGGATTTTGAACGGATATCTGAAGACAAGATAGGTGCTCACTAGGATTGCTTTTTAAAAAGTTATATGCTTATAAACAAAGTGATAAGTGAAAAACAAAAATAACTAGATGCTATAGGGGATCGAGGAAATCGATCCTGTGCGTCTCTCACTCTCCTGTAAATCGAAACCTGGCTGTTAGGCCCAATATATATTTCAGTTTGAATTTCTGTTATGACTTTTTCTAAGGGTTTAAAGTGAATTAATGTCGAGAAAAGAAATTCAGAAATACTTTATAAATTCCTCTTAATTTGAATAAGTATGACTATTGTCAGGTTTTCTTCAAACATTAGTATTTTCTAGATAAATTTCACTGTTGATATAATTGCTATTCCTTACGAAAGATGTACAGGATCTTATTATTTTTGTGTTATTTATTATACTGTGTTTACATTCAGTTGAAACGTCAAGCCAGATTACGCAGAGAATTTATTTACAGAAGATCGATTGAAGTTCGAGATGCTGAAAACGAAAAGAAGAAAAAGATGTTAAAAGTTGCTTTAGCTGAAGGGAAAGTGCTACCTAAAGAAATTCAAGAAGGTGCTTTACAGCTAAATGAAGAATTAGACTGGAGTGATGATGGCGGTGAAGGTACGAACGTCTGTGTTTTCTATATATGTTCTTAACAATTCGTTTGTATTAGGAGTTGCTAATTATCAAGATGATGAGTATCTTTGGGCTGGAACTGAAGATCCGCGCGTTGTTATCACTACATCACGTTCTCCTAGTTCAAAACTAAAAGAATTCGCCAAGGAATTACGTTTTCTCATTCCGAATGCTGCTAAAATTAATCGTGGTAACTACTTGAACAAGAATTTGTTGGAAGCTTGTTTAGCAAAACAGGTGTGTGAGTTTTTAACTCATTTTATTTACTGAAAAGTCTCAGTGATAATGTATTTTTATCACTAACCTGGTTGAAATATATTCTAATTAAAATAACTGATTTTAATCTACATGAAATCGACACTTAAAGTTATGATGGTTTGAAAAAAGTTTGTAGAAATGAGATTAGAATCTTAAATACTGGATAAGAAATCATACCATGAAATTCAATGCCTAGGTAGTCTACTGACAATTGTACGAGTTCATTATTTTGATGAAAGATATTAAAGTTGACGGAAGGTGAGCAACATAAATCTGATGCATTTGCTTTGTATATCTTTGCTAGTGAGTTGTTTTTGTCACGACAATCGTCCCAAGGTACTCCTATGTTGTCCGCAGTCAATCGTATTCGACGTAGAACCTGGCGCGTATTTCTACCGGTTCCGTTCTCCACACCACATTACCACCGGGAGAGGAAATCGAGATAAAAGCCAGAGTATTAATAAAGGGAACTTGACTGCCACATCCCTTAGCTTTGCTGACTCAAGTATGGTATTATGTTTAAAAGCAGGATACACCCTTTTTGATTGTATTTTGATAGACAGTCACTTGTGTTCTGTCTCACTACTTGGGACCCTAAGAATTTGAAAAGACAGTGATCTCTCGTTGTCTTTTCGTCGTTTCTGCTTACTCGCTCACTGATAGCAGCTCGGATATTTCGTTTGTTGTTATGTTTTTACTTTACGAATCAAAAATATTAGTTCATAGATTTTTGTTTTGATACTGTAGTACTAGTTTCCATTTTCTTACTTTTTACATGCTGGTTTTTCACGTTGCTTACGTTAAGTAAGAAAGCTGTATCATATTATCGAAAAGTGGTTGTTATAACCACGTCTTTACTTTTTTATGAATCCTTCTAATCCATTCCTTATCAATGCAAATGACTTGAGCGTTCGCTACTAGCTTATGACTTCTGTCATTCACTAATGATCCTCAAAATGAACGTATTATTAGCTGATGTCCTTAGTCTCAGTTTTATTGTTTATAATTATATTTTAACGATAGTAAAAAAATGTAGAAAACCTGAAAATTCCTGTGTTAAAATGCAAATGATTACAAATCTGCAATAGTAACCGAAGCCGTCTCATGCAGTCATATCATAACGCATTGTTAATACACCATTTATTGCCTTTAAAAAATAATATTGTTTTTATTGTCCTTTATGTGTATATTTTTCTTGGGGATTGCAGATTACTGATATCGTTATTGTCAACGAATCACGCGGCGTCCCAGACACCTTGATTATTAGTCATTTGCCGTTTGGTCCAACTGCTGTATTCACTTTATACAATGTACGCACACGTCATGATATGGAGACTATGGGTTGTGGCACCGGAGCGAAAATGCCTCAGACATATCCTAATCATATATTTAAGGGATTAAATTCCAAATTAGGTCAACGTGTTCGTTGTATATTGAAACATTTATTTCCTGTACCGAAAGATGATTCTAAACGTGTGGTTACATGGTACGAGGAGGATGATGTCATATGTTTCAGGTTAGAATGTTTATTATATATGAATTTCATCTTAACATGTCACTTGTTATTTGGTGAATTATTCAGGAGACATTTGTCAGTAAAATTGTTGTGTTTCTCTTGAATAATTCTGATTGTCATAAATTGACATCAGTCATTCTTTAAAATCTTCGTTTTGGTACTTATTCGTGCGATTATTGATATTGAATCGTTTTAAAACAGTAAACCAAACGCTTATGACGATACCATCGACTTAGCGTTAAAATGGTGAATGTAGGTTTAACTGCCGATTTGTCCACTGAATCAGTTCCCAAATAGAAATACGATTACTGAATATGTATCCGCTGGAAAATTAATGCTGTTTCGTTTATATTATAAAATATATCCAACCAGAATAATACGAATGATTAATTAATTAATCACATCAATAACCTTTAAATTTAAAAAAAATCATTATTTACAATGAGAGAAATTATCTATTTCTAATATGTCATGTAAAATAAGAAATATCAGTTTTGCATGACCCAACCTGGAGGGAGATTGTGGATATGCACTACTGAGGAATCCCGTAATAGCTCATAATAACTGTCCAGTGTTTCTTGTTTTTCTAGTGGTTATCTAATCAAAATCATTTCGTTATGTGAAACCTGAAATTCAACAATCCTCACAACACCCTATAAAGATAGAAGATAATCTAGTCGTATCAGCTAATAGTTGATTCACGGCGATTCATATTTCAAAGTGAATCGCTTTTCTAGATTTTAAGTTTAGTGTTAGTGTTATTCTGGAAGTGATGTTGTTGTGGTTATGACATTTGAACCTCAGTTACTGAATATTAGCATGTTCTAACTGTATTATTCACCTGCTTTGATTTGTGTAGTTGGTGTATAGGTGTCACTAAATCTTTTATACCTAAAGTAAAGTATGAAATAAATGGTAGGTACTTAAATTTGTTCTTGATAAATTGGTTATGGTGTGTTATTCAAATTGTTGCCTTAAAAATTACCAACACTGATTTCAATTATTGTTAATTAGTTGATACTTGATTACAATGAAAAGAAGTTAAGCACAATAAAAAGATACCAAGAATCATCTATGATTAATAATTATAATTCGATTAATTTTTGGTAAGTAAACTGAATAAGATTAACTGGGTTGTAAATCATGATTCAAACGATATACAAAAAGTGTTTCTTGTAACAAACAGTTGTTATCAATAACTTTATATTTAGGTTAAACTGTTATGAATGCGTAATTGTTTCATTACAACGGCCAAGATAAGGCATACATGTCTATTGGTTAAAATTGAATTATTCCATAGTATGCATTGAAAGTAATAAATTTACTATCGATTACGGTTTAAGTTAGGTAAACCTACAGTACCGAACTGATTCTTAAATATTGGTGGTTATTGTCAGCTGAAAATTCTAGTTTGGGTTTGGCAGTAGAATTCGAGAAACATGTTAAAAAAAAGTCGGATGTACCTACAATCAAGTGTTGTTTTTTTTCGTGAATGTTGAACTTACAAACTTCCACTTCATATATTTTCCTCGCTATTCAATGATCATAGTTACCACTCTATTCAACAAGAATTACATGCATAAGTAGGATTTATTGTGAACTATTTGAATTTTGTCGTCGTTAAAATTGAAGATTGTTCTGATAAATTTCTGTTTGGAAATTAGGTTTTATAATGGTGATGACTGGGTATTGTTAGCCGCCTTTTCTAATATATAATTAACGCATAAACTTAGGTATCCGCTCAAAAGATTTATTATTAGCAAAGAGTGATCTATTTTATCATGAATGTTAACTGCATTGAAACATGGGCTTTAAACACAGTAAAGGATAATATTATTTTATCCATAATGTGTAATATAGCCTGTTTGGGAGGTTTTTTTCTGTTCTCACTGACTAAATCATACTTGTGTTTTAGTACTTGGAACAGATCTAAATTAAATATTCTATTGTTACTCTAGTTTATCGTGATTTAGCGAATTGATAATTGAATGATAAAACTAAAAACCACTCACATATTGTGTGAATCGTATATATAGTTTTATTTTGGTGAATATTGCTTTTGATATGAAGAATGCTTGTGTTCAAAATTTCTATGAATGACGTTCTAAAGTACATTCCTGTTAACTTCATGAACAGACAATTTTCATATGGTAGATATTTTGTTAGCTCTAGAATCAAGGCAGGTCCTAACACTGCTAACCTAATTCAATTTGTGTAGCCGATGCTTGAGGGCTTTTTCGTAATACAAAGGCCATTGTTATATCATCCACCAACCTCTACTAACGATCAAGTAATTTGAAATCGTATTAGTACTTAACTTACGTACACTTACGTGGTGGGTACAAAACCCATTGACTACTTGACCCTGTTTTGATTAGATGGCCAGATTTCTAGACTTCTGTAGTACGCTCTATAAAACACCTAACAACTTGTAGGGTAGTGTTAAATTATTTTTAAATGGGGTCGGTAAAATCACCTCAATTATTGTGGACAATTTGTCACAGAATCGGGTTTTAAGCCCATTTATAAGTTTTGAGTTTTGACTTTAATAACGCTTAAGAGTCAGTAGACATACTTTAACCCTTAGTGAGTCCCTTAGTAAAGGAACCTGTTAATTGTTTAAGGATCTCCATCATATTAAAAGACTAATATTTGAACGAAGAATATTCGAAATGCGTTTATCAAATCTCAGGTCGTAAAGTCCCATTTCATAATTGCAGTGTGTTATTTATTATCATTTTCAACTATATTGTAACAAGATTGTTATTATTCATGGTTTATTCCTTTTTTTTGAAGACACCACACATATAAATATATGGATAAAAAATTGGAACTAACTGAACATGGGCCTTCATTCGATTTACGTTGTAAGTATGATACATTGCATGATTTTTTGATGCAGAAGAAAGACTAAAGAATGTGATAAATAATGTCTATATTGGGCTGTTGAAATAATAGAAAGAACGTCGTTGGATGGATTCTTTACGATATGTTAACTGTTCATGATTCCAAATTATTGATACAAGCCTCCTTATACACTGAAATCATATCAGTATAATAGATTTTTTTCAGTGGTAAAATGTTATCATTATATACAAAATATTCAACACTTAAATATGCATTATTAAGTATGACTCGACAAACAAACTGTTGAGAAGATATGAGCTCTGTGCTTCACTCGCTATTAGATCTTGCTGTCGAACCTGATTAGTTTCTGGCATGCAGTTTTTTTCTTTGCTTCAATCCTTCCCTAGAAATGTATCACTGCCATTCAGTACATATCATAGTTTGCACTCATTTGATGAACTAATCAAGGAAATAATAGAAACATAAACACATTATTCATCACCCTTAAAAGTCATATATGTCCTCAGTATTCAAGTGTGAAGCCACAAAAATGTCAAATAACTTACTAGTTCATAGAAATTGAGTTGCTGTAATCATCGTTTAAATTTATAAACATCACAACTTTGATGATTCTTTGTGAAGTGAACAATGATAAGCATTTTGAAAAAAGTACCACCCTATATAAGAGGCGATAGAGTGAAGTTAAGGGTCACTTAAGTCGTTTTTATTTGTTCGATTTTAAACAATGTAATAGTTCTCAGAATATCATTCTGTCCCTGAAATTCAATAATAACTTTAATTGTCAATTGTTTTAAGTAAATCTATGTTTTACTTAATCTTCAGTTGATATAATTAATGTGGATGAACTGTAAAATTAATGCACATTATTCAGTTACGATAGTAAATGCTTTGTATGCAATTTTAATTCGCAACAGTTGCTGCTCGTTTAGTGTTGACTTTCCCCATTTTTTTCGATAAAATAATCGGCTTGTTTCTGGGATATCCTGACTAGTTGCTGATTTGTTTTCATCAACAAGATTACTGTTTTATGTTCTAAGAAAAAGCACTTATATTAACATACGCTTGTGCAATAATTCACAATCTTATCGTTACTTTTGTTCCTTACTCAGATTTTATCGAATACATTTATATTCAATAATTAAAGTTATTCAACTTCATGTGCGTTATGCTTTTATTTTACTTACAGTGTATAAAATTTGGCGTGGACCGTTACATGAAGAAGCCACAGCGGATATTGAGTGGGTTTATCGACCGTATATGAATACTACTTTTAAAAGACGATTTTTATCAGAACCACCATCTCCTTGAACCTTATTATGTAAATAAAATCAAACTTGACGAGGAATTATTCTATATGTAATTTGGGCACTAGCCATATCTATGTTACACGCGTGTTCTTTCTTGTAAAACAACATACTCCTCACCTCAATACATAGTTACTAAGCTATTCATCAGTCCACCCTGTATTACTCTTCGAGCATAAAGCATGGCTGATAAATGTTCACAGATCATAAGTTAGAGATACGTAGTTCAAGAAATTTTGCTACGAATGTTTGGATATAGAGTGAACTTAGTGCTAACAATATTTATCTCTGTATGACACCACTATTTCGAGAGGTGCTTATGCTTTGATATTCAGACCTCAGACGATTTAATGTGGAAAATCGAGTTTACGTGTCTTTTTCAGCACTTTGATTTGGTTCATAAATCGTATTTACAAATGTCATACTTTTCGTTGGTGATTACCGGTTGCACGATCAATCTTTAGCCTTTCTCGACTAAATCCTGTACCATTGGGGTGTTGTTTGATTGGTACTCTTTGGTAAAATATTCTGGCGTAGAGATTCATGGATGACGTATAATATCGCTTGTGTGAAAGCATGCTTAGTCAAGTTCTCCCATTTCCGAAGGAAGACGTGTTGCATCCGTATTATCTTGGTACGGAGGTCTGAGGTGTAGTGTCTGCCAGCTATTGTTATAGACCTCTTCAGTACATACTAATATAAAGCGATCCGTTAGCATTCCTCTACTGACAAGCAGCTTCGGTCGACCTAGGACTGACTCAATGCGTAGCCGCTGTTCAATCCTTAGCTTAGTATTTTATCCGCTCCCTTGCCAGTTGATAGATTGAACCGATCTCAATGTGCATAATCATTGCGGTACTAGGCTCTTAAAACGGGTTGCGTTTCCTTTGCTAATATTTTGATGTTTCCCCGGTCGAAATCGTGTTCATACTTGTACACATGCATTGACAAAAGTTGATCTACGATGTTTACTCAACAACTGGCCCGTGTTCATGTAGACCGAATGTTCGACCACTTTGTCCTAATAGAACAACACAAATGTCGCGGATTATTATCCCTCAAAACAAACTGTACAGCTTGGTTCTTCCTTTATCTTTATTTAAATCAAGCACAATTTCTCAAGAGGAACTATGTCAGACATTTATGGAAATAATATTGGTTTGAGCAAAAATGAAATGAAAAAATCCCACAAACGGAGTGAATTTTTCCACGTTTGCATACCGATACGTATATTCTGCCAGAAGCTTGTATTTAAACATAATAAAGTATTATACTGGTATTTATGTGCCCAAAACACCAATAACACGTTAGTTTAGTCAACCGACAAAAGGTATAATCCAGTTTTTTGGCAAATGCTGTATAAAAATTGTTACCGTTTTAATTACTGTTGGGTTTATTAATCTAACTAATCGTTTATTAATTCACTGTAACTAAGCGAAGTCACTGCTTTGATGCACTTTCCACGGTTACTTTAAGATGACAGTTGTTGTTTTTCGCTTTTTGCAATTCGTTTTTCATATTGCCCATCGAAAGATTTTAAATTCTTGGTACAGTCGACTGCTGTTCATTTACACATGGGTCTTATCATAAATATGGGTTTCATCCCCATCCTTACAGAGCACACTATCACTAGAAGTAATAGGGTTATAAAATGTATATAGTGAACATTATATTGTGTTTAAGATCACTTTCATATGCAGTCGAGTATTTCAGAAACACTAGATAATGGAGAAATTTTGATGGCTATTGTGAAAGTGCAAGTCTAGAGAGGTGTTGTTAAATACAGGATGGATTTATCGTCGTCAAATTCCTGTTCCTGGTAACTTTGTATTATGACATTTGCACTTGCGGTTATGTTAACTACCCTATCATAGTTGATTTGAAAATGCCACATACCAAGTGATTAAAATCTTCGAATTGAAGCGCACATCTGAATAACATCCTACCTTTGACTAAACTTTGGTGCGCACAGTGAGATCGGAAAATTGATTTATTTTTACAAAAAGCATGAGCCACCTGTTAAGCCTTGAAAAGTTGATTTTTCTTGATACTACCGCGTATAACAGAGCACTAGAACACCAAAACCCTTCCAAGTCGCAGTAAGAAGACAGAAGACTAACGAAAGGAATATTATTCCAAACAGTGTCAATTATAGTACAAAATTGTCAGGTATTTATAGTTTTTAGTGAGAACGAAATCATCATTACAGTCTTCCAATCCGTATACAGGGGGTTATTAGCACTATCCAATCGGGAAGCTACACGTTGGAATTCTAGAATATTCTTCCGAAAGGTGGTTGGATGAGACGTCTTCGACTCCTTCTGAGCCTCTTACAGCTTCCTCGAGTTTACCGGTGGTCCGTCATCACACCACCACTATGAAACAACATTTTCACTTCTTTCTGGTTAAATTGTGATAACGATGTATTATCCATCGGATTTAGAAAAAACAGTAATATTATTCTGCAAGCCGTTCCGTAATCTGATGGACAAATTTTACGGCAATCGAAAGCCTTGCAATCTCACTGTGGATGAGTCAACTGAAGGAAGTTAAATTTCCGGGTCAAGGAAATAACAATACCGTTTATCCCATACCGAACTCAATCCAGTTGATTACTGTAATTTCAAAGCATCTATAGGGAAATGAAAGAAAATCACATTCGGGTCTTCTTATTAATACTCAGTAATAAACGGCTTAGGTATGAGGGTCAAAAAATTGTGTAAGGCAGCTACAAGTAGATACTGCGTCGTCAGTCAGGATACGATAACCGCAGATGCACAAAATACTGCCATGCTTCGGGAGAAAATAGGAAGCAGTGGGATCTCTCTATTGATAACTAATTATTTATTCCTAAATATATGTTGCTAGGTTGATAGTGCTGTAGACTTTCAAATTCTCTTTATTGTCGTTTGATTCAGCATCAAAAGTTACTTTACTGATCAATATTGTCCGTTTGCTACCCGTGTATTTGAGCTCACTTTAGTTTTTTAATGCCATATGTACTTTGAAGCTGAAAAACGTGATGCAAGGATTAGTTCAGACCAGCTTATTTATTCTCATATCTGAAAACCTAAGACTGACGACCTAAAACTTTCACATTATCAGTCATCAAATTAGTAAGAAATATCCCTCATAAGTATAACAGAGAACTGGTGACTTACTTCAATGAGTTTTTGAAAGTTCAGTACTACAGTGTTTCAACGCCCTACTCACAAAAATCCTTGAAAATCAACCTTGAGAAACAGCGCCCTCAATAGTTTTCTACGCGTTTTCACCGTAAGGCTTTTCTGTAAGAACAAAGTATATGATTATCTTCAAACTTTTAGTCACTTGTTTTGTTATTAATTATTAACATGTTGGGTCTGCCAATATTATGATCATAAAATTGCTGTTAGTGATTTTGTTTAGTTAAACGCTTAATATAATATTAGGGAACATGAGGAAGACTTTTTAATGAAGAGTTTGTTCTCCAGACGTAGTTTATTCTATATAGTACTCGTTGTATTGTGATAATGAGTAGCTGACAATTTTGACTTTCTCAGACAATTATCATACTGTTATAGCAGTAGAAGTAAAAAAGATGAAATCAAAGTAGCAGCATAGGTACGAAAACGAAATATTATCTATTTTTTTGTTTTCTTTATATTCAACCAATCAAACGATATTTTCAACTTAGCGCTGTAGATTACTGTGGGAACAAGTTAGAGTGAACTAGTTTTGGTGTACACCAAACCGTTGAATGTCAACTTCTTTCTGGTTTATATGAACGGATAAGACGTCGTTAGATCTTGAAGACTATCACAAAAACTAGGAACTTTCATTAGAGTGGGTTTAGCTCATAGCACTTGCGACGTTAAGAGTGACACGACACCAATTAAATCCAAGTTAGCAGCTATAGAGTTTCTGTAAACGATTCGTCCATCTATATGATGATGAACGTTTATTAAATTATAGCCGATATCGGTCAGTTGTTTAAATGTCACTCTATTTCCTAATCCTAACTTCTAAAACGGTCTCCTAGAAAATTGTCATATACATCACCAACCTGCAAGTTAGCTTGGCCCGTACTTGCGTTGGATTATATCTCTATATCTTTTAAATTTAAAAATCATCTCAATCGTCTTTAGCATTTCTCAATAAACCCATCATAGTCGTTATTGCTATACGTATTTGGGTTTATGAATTGGTCTATCATATTATTAACCTACAAAGACGAACACAGCTTAGATAATAGTTACAAATTAAAGTACGATCAACTGCACTAGTATAGTAACTAAACTATCAGGTAGTTGTTGGACAAACAAGCATTTAAAATCATAACTTCTGAACCTATTACTAAAATCAACATTATGTAGACGAATATTTTTGAATCGAAATTTATAGTATAATTAGGCGGCTCGGGTTCTTTAACGCTACAAATTTCTGATGATTTTGAATCACCTGAAACAACAACATCTATTTTTCCACCCGCGAATCCTCAATCAACACAAGTTAAACATAGTGGTTTCAGGATATCGTCATGAAGCATTCGAAACTTGACAATCACGTAATATGATAAAATTTATGAAACTATTGACAAACTTGGTCAACAAATTTACTCATAATTATCATCAAGTAGTGTTGTTTTCCTTTTATCTTCATTCACTACAGATGATTACAACATGTTTCTATCAGTCGCTCATTCAGTATATATCTCAAAACCTTTTCAGTCTAGTTGGAGATTTAGCGACTCAGTCATGCATGAAAATAATCAGTATAAGCAGTCGAGCAAATCTCCTGCAATCTAAAAACAATGACGAATTTACCTCAACACTGACTAAGGTTCAAGTCATTATCATGGACATGAGTTGGGAGTGTACTCCCCTTGGTTACAACTTATGTTCTCCCTGATAATCACATGAACATCACTCACTGTTAATCATTTTGTAAAGACTTATTTAGCTGAGGACATCTTGCAGCACCACATCACCTATAATTGTAGCACATAAGCTTAGATGATTCCAACACATTATAATCACTATACCTCAATTACATCGTGTTCGGCCTTATGATAAACTGCATAACAGCAACTAACTTGTATGC